ATGGCGGAATAGTCCCGCCTTCTATATGAAAGAGCCAATCACTGATTGGTAAAGTCATTGCGTCACTGCAGCGGCCTTTAGAAGCTCCAGTTTCCATAGAAACCTGATGCTAGACCAGCCGATGCGCATGCGCAGTCATAAGCGCGTTATAACTGCGCATGCCGAAAAAATAAGCTTTTTTAATGCTATTTGAGCATAAGAAACAACATTCATGGGGCAGTTCATTTCAGATTTTGTTGTGGATTCATTCATTCAGGACTTGGTCTTGTTTGAGCTGCCCGGAGGCATTGCAAATATGGCTGCTGAGTGAACAGACTTTCCTTGAAAGGGACTTTGACTTAAATAACTGAAAAACGAAGTGTGGAATGCTGGACACTTCATGCACTCAACTGTCACAGCTTTAATTACGTAGCGAAGGGGGATGGGCTATGAGACTCCATTATAAATTACAAAAATAACCTTATAAAATTCCTCCACTACATAGTTGAGTACAGTGCATAAGTACATAGTGCATAAGTTCATAGTGTATAGTGTGTCAATTGGGACGCAGCTATGCCGACTTGCTGATTCTGACTCTTTGAACCGATTTTTTAAAACGAAACGTTCGAAAGAACCGATTCGCGCGAACGAGTCGGGCTTTCCATCACTAACGCACGCACGCACGCACGCGCTGCGGATTGAGCTGCTCTTCCCGCTTCGAGCGCCGTTTGGCGGATGACAGTTTGTTTTCACAGAGGGCCTGTCTGAGCAGAAGAACGAACATTTACATCCTCAACTACGGGAACCGAATCGCTTTTCGTCAAGATGAGACCACTTATTCCCAAATGTACGCGTTTGGTGAGAAGTGTGAGGTGACATTTGTGTTTTGTGCTGTTTTTTTGCGTAAACTTACGCAGGGCTAATGCTGCTAGCCGCAGCTGAAGGGTGGCTAATGCTAGCAGAGAGATTTCCTTAGCCAGCTTTCAAGCTGTCCGTATGTGGCGTCAAAATATCACGACACGGCGAATGCGCTCAGAGTATTTTCGTTATTTTTTTCTTTAGTCACCAATATAATGTAAGTCGACATTAATGACAGTTGTGTGGGTTTCTGTGGTTTAATAGCAAGAAATGGTTAGCTAGTTAGCCGTATCAAAACAGACGCTTTACACTCTGAGCCCCCCATACTGTCATTTTAAATCTGCTTCAGAGTGAAGAATAGTCTTTCATTTGAAGAGATTGTCAGTAAAATTTATCTGTTCTCATTCGACTTTATACTTGTGTGTGTAGAAGTGCATCTGTTAGCTATTTAGAAAGCATTCTGTGGGTTTCTTAGCCTTGTTTTAAAGCCAACATCCTAGTCGAGCTGAGTAATAGTCATATTTAGCAAAACCATGAACTTTCAGGTGTTAAAATAGACTTTATGCAACATCCCAGTATTGCACACATCCATGCAATGTTAAAAAAACAAGAGTGGTTTGCTTTTGTCTTGATGGGATTCGTGTGCATTTGGGGATCTGTTTTATAAATATCAGATGCATCATCTCTGCGAGCTGATGTAAGTGTGTTCGAAGCGTGGTAAGAAAGATGTATTTTTTCCTGCAGTCGGATGTAAGATTAGGAGAAAGTTGTGCAGGATGACCCCTGCCTTACAGTGCTGTTCAACATTCTTCGCCCACCACACACATCCAGAATCGCTTCGGTTTTCTGCATATTAAGTATCCTGTTTTATTTCCTGTACTTTGGATGTTTCATTGGAGATGCACTGCCTAATAGCTGATAATTATATTATGGCTGATGATGATCAATATTATAGGCTTGGTTTGTCTTTTGTGTAGGCAGCACCAATCTAGACATGTACTTTTACAGAATGATTGATTGTGGTTTGGTACTTTTGTAATTGAACTGTTCTGATTCCACTTAACAGTTCTTTTAGTGCTTTTTATAAAGAGATCTTTGGGAAAACAAATCTAGTATTTACAGCCTTCTCAGTCAGTTGTCAAATGATGAGATGATTTTGGCACACAGATTTATAATAGAACAGTTGTAATATTTCAGAAATTAATTTTGAGCATAGTCATACAATTGTAACCGTAAACTCAATTTTTGATTTTTGAAAAGAGGGGCAAGTCAAATTTATTTTTTTGTGGTAATCAACATTATGCCACAAAGGCATTGTACTGTAACTAAGGGTGAAACGGTTCGCGGGAAAAAATTGAACCGTACGGTTCTCCACACACTGTTCGGCACGCGCTAGGACTGCGGTTCAACTTAAATCTGACAACGCATCTGTAATATGGTTTGCGATAAATAACACGTAAAACAAACAAGGTTCAGCTAATGTATGTTTCTGTTGATGGATGTGCATTCTGGCTTCCCAGTACTTACAACAACAGCGATGAGAAAAAAAAAAACTGTACGTACCGTATCAGTGCACTGGATCAGTGCATTCTCTTAAAGTGACAGCACTATTAATCAAACGGCAACAACAAAGAATTCACTTATACAGTGAAATATGCAAAGCTGTTTTACATTTCATTACTTCATTCAATTTCTGTACCTAAAAACTAATGTTAGACCTACCTAAAAAAAAAACTGAAAATCACTGTTTATTTTATTTGTATCTTTACTCTATTGTATTTATTTGTGCTGTTGCTTGTAGTTAGATAGATTATTCGTATTTTCTTTATTTTTATTTGACAGTATAGTTTTTCCCTAAACATACCGAAACCGTGACTCTAAAACCGTGATACAAACCAAACCGTGAGTAAGTTGAACCGTTCCACCCCTAACTGTAACCAGAATATTTCTTTAAGTACGTTGTCCTTAAGTTGGCATGGAGTGAAAATTCGCCATCTATTTTAAGTGTATATCATAGATCTAATTGTGAGTCATGCATGCATTTTTGAAGCTTTCCGGTGAAAATGTTAGACTTCTTTCTGGTGATGTATGCAGGATTTGTCTAATCATTTTGCCTAGTCCATTTAAACTCCGCCTTCTCAAGCACATGTTCACATGCAGGCCCGGCGCCAGAGGGGGGGCCCCACGGACATCCCTGTGCCCCCGCTTTGGACGGAGGGAGACAGTCGAACTTGAGTTTAGCGTGTATTATAGTCTTACTCATACAACTGCCTGCTGTTGCTTCTGATGGCTTTTAGATGGAAAAGCTGCCCATAACCCCTGGTCTGGGATCTGTTTTCTTCGTAATAATGGCATAACAAAATAGATTTGGCAGACAATCCAGTGTATCTGCCCTTCTGCTTTGGAAAGCGTCAAATGATTTTACAATGCATTTTCGCAGAGGTGAGCAATGTAGCCAATCACAGACATGTTTGTTGATTTCTAAAACGCAATGGCCAATCAGAGGTGTTTAGGTTGGAATCCACGCACTCACCGCTCCAGTCACCGTTTTTTGTCCAGTGCTGCGTTCTATCATGCTCGTAACTTCTTTCTAACAAAGACATTTAAAAAAGTTTCATCGTGTAGTCACGTTCATTGTTTTTTTTGTTTGTTTGTTTTTACTTTGTGAGATCGTGATGAATGAGTGACAGTTTTTAATACATTTAAAGGGAGCACTCTTTGCATGCTGTATACGATAATATATTCAGAATTTAAA